TTTTGTCTCACTTGAGATAGTTTCCCTTGAAACAGAAGATTTTATCTCGCTTGAGATAGTTTCCCTCGAAACAGAAGATTTTATAAGAAACTAAGCCTTCGGGGGTTTCTTGATTTGTAAGTCCTTAGGGCCATCCATAAGACCTTTGGGCAGGATGTTTTCAAATGAGTTTTTAGAAACTAAGCCTGATTTTCAAGGGTTTCTTGAGGATTATTTCCAAAGAGTATTTCAAAAAAGAAATCTAAGCCTAATTTTTAGGGGTTCATTGACAACTAAGAAACTAAGCTTGATTTTCAAGGGTTTCTTGATGAGTAAGTCCTTCGAGCCATCAGTAAGTCTTTCGAGTATGATGTGTAAGTCCTTCAGGCCATCTATAAGTCTTTCGAGCAAGATGATAAGCCCTTCGAGCCATCCATAAGACCTTCGGGCAAGGTGTTTTCAACATTTCCTTTTATGCAAAGCATTACATTTTGAATCAAACGCCCCACTCGTGGGACAGACATTTCTAGTAGACGGATCATGAGATATTTTTCCTAAGAACAAATTTTGTCTCACTTGACACAATTTTTACTTTAAACAAGTTTTGTCTCCTTTAAGACAGTTTCCCTTGAAACAAATTTCGTTTCTCTTGAAACAATTTCCCTTGAAACACAAATCTTTTAGATTGTTTCCCTTAAAACATCAATCTTTGAATCTGTTTCTCTCGAAACAATAAATTTTATCTCACTCAAGAGAGCTTCTCTTAAAATAGTTTTGTTATTTATTTTCATCCAGATATTGAATATTTGACAAGAATTCCAAAGTTAGCAGAGGTTTCATTTCACAATTAAAGAAGAAGATTTCAGCAAAGAATTGATTCACGTCTTCATTTTTGAAAAAAAATGGATCTCAACAAAGATTCGAGAACCTCTAGGTCAGTACCTTCGGGTACTTCAAACACAATTATTACTAACACATGATAATCTTTTGCAGGTTGGAAGATCTTCAAAGAGAACCGATCAACATTTCCAGTGGAGAGTTCATAATGAGAAGAACTCATCCAACGAGGGAGAAGAAGTTCATAATGAGAAGAACTTGTTTAACCTTGGTTCAACGTTTCCAGTGGAGAGTTCATAATGAGAAGAACTCATCTAACGAGGGAGAAGAAATTCATAATGAGAAGAATTTGTTTAACCTTGGCTCAAAATTTCCAGTGGAGAGTTCATAATGAGAAGAACTCATCCAACGAGGGAGAACAAGTTCATAATGAGAAGAACTTGTTCAACCTTAGTTCATCATTTCCATTGGAGAGTTCATAATGAGAAGAACTCATCCAATGAGGGAGAAGAACTTCATAATGAGAAGAACTTGTTCAACCTTCACTCGATTCGTCGCATATGGAGTTGAATCAGCAACACCTCACTCGAGGGATCAACATTTCCAATGGAGAGTTCACAATGAGAAGAACTCATCCAATGAGGGAGAAAAAGTTCATAATGAGAAGAACTTGTTCAACGTTCGCTTGATTCATCACATATGGAGTTGAATCAATAACACCTCACTTGAGGGATCAACATTTTCAGTGAAAAGTTCATAATGACAAGAACTCATCCAATGAGGGAGAAGAAGTTCATAATGAGAAGAACTTGTTCAACCTTTGCTCGATTCATCACATATGGAGTTAAATCAACAACACCTCACTTGAGGGATCAATATTTTCAGTGGAAAGTTCATAATGAGAAGAACTCATCCGATAAGGAAGAAGAAGTTCATAATAAGAAGAACTTGTTCAATCTTAACTTGTTTCCATCACATACGGAGTTGGAACATCACCAACATGTCGTTTGATTTCATCATAGAATAAGGTGGATCAAACATTGTCATCTCACTTAAATCCATCACATAAGTAGTTGGATTAACATCATCTTGGGTCAACCATCACAGAAGATAGTGGATTGATATCCCCAGCGGAGAGTTCATAATGAGAAGAACTCATCCAACGAGGGAGAAGTTCATAATGAGAAGAACTTGTTCAACCTTGGATCAACATTTCCAGAAGAATCAGCGACTTGAAGAGCAAATATTGAGTCAAAGATAGTCCTCTTTTATCTTTGCTTCATTCCCGTTTTATAGCAATAAGCAAAGAGGTGCAGCTGTGAGCACCATATTTTAATTAAAACCCATATTAATGCTCTACTAGACCCTCTCTCATACCCCACGTGAAACACTTTATTTTTGCCCATACTTTGTGTTACACACCAACATCCCACCACCATGCTATGTCTTGCACGTTTTATTATTATTATATTTCAAAAGCCCATACAGTCACCCATGCTCCACTATGTTGCGTTGTTCCCCATACCGTACCCATGTTAGTATTGCTCCACCATCTTTTTCATTTTTTTCTATGTAAGGGTATATAACCTGAAAACAATGTAAACAAAGGGGGCGGATTAAAAAAAACGATGTAACAAGAATTTTTTTCAGTAATCAAAAGCAGAATTGAAATTGTTTCAAGCTAAGAGGTATTCTAGTTCTTATTCTCGATTTACTTGTAATACAACAAATGGAGTTTAATTTTTAAGCTTGTTCTTCGTTCGAAATTTTCAAAAAAATAGAGATAAGGGTTAGAAACTACCTTGCTGCCATGGGTTTGTCGGGGTAGTATTTTCGTCGAGGAGAGGGTAGCGTAGTTGTCTCTGATTCGAGGTTGAAGGGTCGTCGTATGTGACGGTCTTGTGTGGTTTGATCCTCGTCTGAGGAGAGGTAGAGTGAGTTGAGATTAGGGGTTATCTTCATGGTGTTACCGTACCTTATAGGTCTCGGTTGGAGTAGAATGGCCACCCATATGGGGTGGCCGAGGTGACGCAGGTTGTGAGTCTTCGAGGTCCTCCACCGTGGGTTCAAGTGAAGAAAGGAGAGGAGAGCTGCTAGGGATTCAGGAGCAAACAGGCCGAATGAAACACAGAAGAAGAAGAAGAAGAAGAATAGGCTATATTTAGGAATTTTAGGGTATATCACGCTCAGATCCCTGAAACTTTAGCTTGTTTCGTGTTTCAGTCACCAAATTTGTGGGTAAATATCCTTTAGGTCCTTGTTGTTCTTGTCGTATTTTATATTTAGGTCACTAGGTTCATCTTTAATTGCTAGTTTTGATTTAAGCCTGTATGCTTTGTTTTATTTTATTCTGGTCACTTTCTATATATTATTTACTTGTTTCGAATCGTTCCATCTATTGTTATTATTTTTATTTTGGTCTTTTTATGGTTTTGCTTATTATTTTCATGTTATGATTTATTTCACTTTGCCATATATATGTTTATATTTGTATAATTTTAGTTGTATATAAATCATATATTGCGTGAAAATAAATTTATTTACTAAGTACTTTTAATGCTTGTATATACATGTACGTCGTTTTTAATCTTAACCTGTTTATTTATTTATTAGTTATTTCAAATTTATCCACTAGTTAGAATTTTACTCGAATATTTTCAAGTACACCAATTTGTAGAATGGGCGTGGAAAACATCACTTGATCGAAGTGATGTAATTAGATACGACATTTGAATAAAATGTGAATTTGAAATAAAATTGATTTTATTTTGTTAATTAATTTTAAGTTGAACTATGTGATGCATGTCACTAAATAGCGGTTTACTTTATGCAAAGATCGATTTTCATTTTATATTTGATTCGCATTTTTAAAATCAATGAGGAGGGAATATTCTTTTACTGACAAGAAATAGTCGAGTTAGCTTTCCCGATGGAGGATTGCTGATTTCAAGATTTCTTTTCGAGTTATGGAAGTTTCTCTAATTAATTAATTGGAAGTAGATTAATTAAATTTCAATAAATGGATAATATTTTTAACTTTATATTCGATTCACGAATTCCACCTTTTACGACAACGTGTAAGCGATTCTAGTACCAATTTTGGTCGTCGTGGGGGTGCTCACCCTTCCCTATACGTAACCGACTTCCGAACCCGTTTTAATCGAATCTTTGATAATGCAGGCCAATTATGTCTTATAAACTGATTTTTCTTAAAATTATTTTAAAAGACGTTTTTATATATTCGACCTACCTAACCCAAAGGTCGATGGTGACTCCTTTTCATTTTAATTCCAATTAAATTCAAAACCGACGAATTTTTCAAATGAAAGTCATAACTGTTTTTTTAAAACAATAAACAATTATTCCGCCGAAAAATGATTACAACATTTGGAAATTCAAATTTCTAATAATAAGAGTAAAAGACAAAGGAATAGAATACCAGTGCTGGTACAAGAGTCGGCTACGTGGACGACTCCGCCGTTGTAGGTGACTCTAGTGATAGTTGTGCACATTGAGTGAGAGGCGTTCAAGACCATTTTCAGATCCATTTGGTTCTTATTTTCCTTTGATCGTCTCTTCCCCCAAACCCTAAATTATAATCCAAACTCTGCTTCAAATTGTTTGAAGACCCTTCCTCAACAATATCAACAGAGAGAATAAATACAACTCACCTCCACTTCCAATAAAACTCCTTTTCCTCTCTTACCTGTCCCTCCACCACCACCATTTCCAAGAACTTCTGGAGGGAATGAAAAAATAGCTTAAGGGGAAAAAATGAAAAAGGGTAAAAGGGGCGTGCGATTTAAAAACTGTAAATTTACGGCGTTTGTAAACACAAGCACCACTAAAGTACGAGTCTTTAGCGGGGTTTGTATAAAAATGCCACTAAAGTATAGTCTTTAGTGGCGTTTATATGAAAACGCCACTAAAGTATGAATATTTTCTAAAAACACCGCTATAAACCCATTTTGCTGTAGTGACTATACAACATCTAAAGACAGGATGATAAGATGTGGATTGAAGAATTTATGATCATTGTCTGTTCCGTCAAAAGAGGCTAGAAATCACTTATTTGGCTCAAAACTAAGAGTTGTAATTTGATTTGGCTCAAAAGCAATGACTTTGGATACAATTTTAAAAGCGGTACATAGATTGATGAACAAACAATAGGAGCTAAAGCCAAATGCTAAACAAAGCAAAACATTCTCTTAAGAGTCTTAATACAAACATAGCGAATTAACTCAAGTCATCTACCTAAATGTGTAGCTAGGCCATCAGCTGTTTCCGGAGAGAATCAATTGCCTGGCCAGCGATTATTTCATACATTCTTTCCGTGGGGTGAACAGCATCCCAGAATACATATTTTGATGCATCAGCGCATGTGCTCATGCCTTTGCATGTATCTCCATACTCCACGGTCCCCGTCCCGCAACACCCTTTTGAAGTCTCAATCAAACCTGTCAATTTTCATTTGTTTTCCCCGTGCAAGTTAATTGATATTACCAGTTTATCTTCTGCATCTCTAAACCAAAAGGGATAATTTAAAAGCTAACCGTATTTTTTGGGGTTGTTGACAGCATCCCGAAAGATGCCATAAGCATCAACGTAGCCGATTTTCATCCCTAATGTTTTCCTGGCGACATCCAACTTCAGCTGTAGCTTGGAATTGAATGATGAGGAGAAATTGTTGTACTTCTCCACGCATGTCTTCTGATTCATTAGAGTCTTGACAAGGGGCATACAACCGAGGGCAGGCACCCCAACTACCACTAATCGTGTAACTCCAAGACCGTGCATCGTCTGTAACAATAAAAAAGCTGTAACTCTTGCAACTAATGGAATGTTAATTCTGACTATTAAGATATAATATGGCAGTAGCAGAGAAACAGGGAGACACCTTAACGTGGTCAGACATGCAAGAGGCCAAGTAATTTTGGTACTGTTCCAAAGTATACTGCTTGGGGCGAATGGGTTCTAAGTAGTAGTTTTCAAGAAAGTCATTTGTGCCCATACTCAACACAGCTACTGAATTCTTTATAATATTTTCTGCTTTCCCCGCTCCAACCAATCGCCTCAACCGCATCTTATATTCCCTGAAATACTCCAGCTGCTTGGAAAGCGGCAGGACATTCTGTTTCCCCAACAAAAACAAAAGGGAAATATAATATATAAAATATATACATATATGTGCGTTTACTTTGAAATGAGAGGGGCAGATGTTAAAGACTTACAGAGAGATTGGCAGTGAGCTCATCATAACCAGAAGCAGCTGATGCGAAACTAACACCATGTAAGATATCAACAGGTCTCAATCTCTTGTGAAGGAAGGGTCGAATTGCCTTTGTGTAACCCAAAGCTTCAGCTGATCAATTATTAGCAGAGGTCGTTATCAATATTTATTGACCAAATTTTCCTTTTGTAGGCTTTGACATCGAAGATAGATTCGACAGATTAAACTAATCATGCATGAAAAATGGAATATTTGTTTTGTTTTCACTGCTTTTGAATTGAAAAAGATGTTTGGCCAAAGAAGATCCAAAGTGATCAATTGAATAATTAGCTCCAAACAGTAATAATACGCCGCTTCTCATTAGCTGCAATCATACACTTCATCTTATTAAGTTGTGTCTTACTAATTTTTTAATAATCGAATGGTTTAAATCTTGATTATAGTTATTTTAAATATTTAAATAATCATTTTTTATAAAAAATATATATATTTAAATTTATTTGATGTTCTTAAAATATATTTTTACATTTTTAGTAATAATAATTTTTTAAAAATAAGAAATTGAAATTAAAAAATTAATAAAAATAATTTTAATAGTACATAAAAAGTATGGTTTAACATATTAAAATATGACTTGTAATTGAACCAACAATATGGAAAAGGTTTTACACAATACTGCCTATCGGAGCCAGGATTTCTTGTACCACGACAAGCACTATATTTACATCGTAGTTCTATTTTGTATATTCATTTTACTCATCTTTACTGTGTTTTTTGTTTCATTTCACATTAATTAGTGAAATCTTTTTTTTTTGTTAGTGCTTAGTATACTTGTAGGATTTATATCATAATTCAAATATTATTAATGAAAAAATGATAATTATAGCATGACATATCAAGGTGTGGGCAAGGGATATGTGCAGAGATATGGCAGTGAATTACCAATAAAATCAGTGGCTAGCCTTCCATTGCTGAAGCGTCCAGTTGGGCGGCCTCTGAAGAAGTCTTTCCCATAAGGTAGGAAATTACCCTTCATGGACGTCGCGATATAGTTGTTGTTGCCCGGATCAACGCTCGAGTCTCCGAATACTACTACACAAGTCACGTTGAATCTAGTTGCCAGTAGCTTCACTTGTTTGTTATCTATACCTCCTGTGAGCAGCGGCATAACAGCAGCCAAGGCTACTACCAAAACAACTGCTCTCGTCACCATTTTTTGAGCTATCCTGTATCTGGGCAGATGAAGCTTGGAAAGAGAACACGCCCCTTTTAGAGAATCAACTCTGGAATGTTTCTCTTTCGCTGCTGTATTTCCGGTCTTAAATAGGCCTCAGATGGGCTGGTTTGTGTTGGTTGAAACATTTAACTGCATCCTCCAAACTCTGGAGAACTGCTAGGCTGCAAACTAATTGCATTAAAGATTGACGTGTAACAGTTACAGTCGTAAAACTGTAGAAGTAGTGAAGTTGATCGTGTATATCCTATTATTTTGACCGCATTGTTAAGTTTCCACTCGGTGGAAAACACGTTGCAGCCTTGCAGGAGATGAATATGTACGTGTCGGAAGGGTTGTAATCGAGTGCATATCATGTCTTAAGAAGATTTTTGAGTATATAAGTCTACTAAATTAAAGTTGGTATATTATATTTTATGTTCGATTAAAGTTGATATATAATTTTGCCTTTAAACTGATATTTTTAATAATAATTAAAAAAATTGTTAGAATACTTAAATTTAAATCAAACTACTTGAACTTAACTTTAATGAAATTACAAATCAAATCCAAATGACTTGCATGCACATACTTCGTTTACAACTTAGAAATTTTTATAATAAAAAAAATCGATTTTAAACCTATGTCCATTGTATCGAATGTATCTATTTTAAGCAAAATAAAGATCGAGCTTTGGGGGTTGACAAGATATCATGAGTAATTAATATTTGAAAACTGGAAATGAAGACTATTGGGTGGTTCTTATTCGCCATGCCAAATTAGACAACCAATCAGCATGCAAAATGATCATGTGCAGATTTAATGAGCGCGTAGATATAGATAGTGTACAATATTTAATGTGTACATGATATTTATAGTGCTTATGAAAGAGCATATTAAATAATTAAATCGGACTCATTGATTGAATATGTAGTATATTAATAAGTAATATTATTTTAATTTCAATTAACATTAAATTTTGAGATAATTAATTTTAAATATTTTTTCCAAATAGAAAAATAATTAAAGTAGACCCTCCTCCCAAAACATATTATTTAAATTTCCATGTGGATCCGTTGAAAATATTAAAAAACGGGGAACAGTTTGAAAAGTTGGGTATGTAGTGGTTGACATAGACATACCGGCAACGCGTAACACAAATACATAACCAAATATGTTGGCTCCAGATCATTTAATTTCCATGCCCAAAATGTCGGATTGGTTTTAACTAGAATGTAGATTATTGATTGCATTTGCGGTACTCTCCAATTCGTCAAGTCAACTATCATTATACGATTGTTATTACTGAAAAACATTTAATTGATGGCTTAAATTGTTTTTTTAAATTGATTTCAATAATAACAATCAACAAGTTTAAATTTTTTAAATAAATATTATTTCAAATTATTTTTTAAAAGAAAAATTAGTATAAAAAAAATAGTTAAACTATAACTCTTTTCTCATTTAGGTGTCTAAACCCTTTTCTGGTCAATCTAAATGCCTAACGTTACAACCATTACTATTTTAAGTGTTTCGGCCTTAACGGTCGTTAAAAAATTTCAATAAATAAAACATGTCATATTTATATAATTTTAAAAATTTTATTTTAAATAAAAAAACTTAAAAGTATAATTAAAAATACCTAAAATTTTCTCAAATCTTAAAAAAATCAAAACTTTGAAAACCCTAATTCCAATTCCTATACCTACGTCGACTGTCTTTTTTGCCGCCATTGTCATCGATCGAACTTTCACCCAACGATAAAACATCGACGACCCAGAACATGGCGACACCCACGTCTCCCAATGTTAAAAAAACTTTGAAAATTTGTGACTCACATGATCCGACGACAATCGCAACGGTAATGATAACGACGATTGACAAGGGAGACAATAAGGGCGGAAATGACGGCGATGGTCATGGCTGATAAGGGAGATGGTAATGTTAAGATTAGGGAATTGAGTTTTTTTCTTTATTTTTTTGTAATTTTAGGGAAATTATGATTTTTTTTCAAATATAATAATATTTTTAAGTTTTTTAAAATAAATTTTTTAAAATTATCTGAATGTGACACGTATCACTTAATTTAACAAAACTTTTTAACTGTCGCTACGGTCGATACACTTAAAATAATAATATATTTATAATGTTTGACACCTAAATTGACTCTCAAAAAATTACACACATAAATAAGAAAAGAGATAGTTTAGATATATTTTCATATTAAGCTTAAAAAAATAATAATAACAATCAATAATCTACCTTCTTGGTTTAAATTGAAAAAAAAAATCATAATAATATTCAGATGATATTAAATATTTTTAAATTAGATTTTATGAAATCAAAAAGTCAAAAACCAGTCCATCCATCTCCAACCGAAACAGCTGTCTATCTTTTCGGTTTTGTGATCCAAGATAAATGACGAACGGAAAATATTGAATTTTGTGCTTATTTCGTATTGATTGGCCATACACTGAATGGATTGAATTTTTGGCTGCAAAAGTAGTTGCTTTTAATGCTGTTTCCACTGTTCCTATTATCATAATGTGTCTAGTTATTCCACCCATACAAATAATAAGGTGTGAACATCAAGAAAAATTCTGTTCATGAATCATTATATTAATGACACAAACTCATCAAGTATTAGAAATTATTCCCCTGATGTAATTTATAAGTTAATGGAATATTTTGATAAAAGCAACATATGATATTAGCATGGATGATTGGATGTTTAAGAGGAGCTTCTAGATGGATAATGAGAGACATGTCAACTACGTTGATTAATAAGTTGAGCAATTCGTAAGTAGTTTGAATTCGACTTAATCAATACTCGGTTAAAACTTGATTTGGGTTAACTTGACTCGAATTCGATTCGAGATTTTAACGAGTTGAGATGTGGAAAGTCTAACTCGACTCGATAAATTCACGAACAGTTCTTTATTTATTTTTATAAACTTTTATAACTTCGTAGTTTGGTGATTGCATGAGATAATGAATGAAGTGAAGAGATGTTGATTTCTTTATTTTTAGGATTGATTGTGTTGTGGAACTTTCTTTTTCAAGAATGTTTTTAATATGTTAGTTTGATTTATTTATGGATTGTTATTTGGTTTAAATATGTTAGTTTGATATATTTGTAGATTGTTACTTTGGAGTTTAGACTCTGAAATTGTTTCATACACTCTTTTAATAATTTTTTGGTTAATTATGTTTATATTAAGTTCTATATAGTATTAATAGATTTTACCTATAGTTTAAAAAACAAGGTAAAAGTTCCAATGAGTTTAATGAGCAACAAACTTAGCAGGCAGCGAATTGAGTCGAGCAACAAGTATATTTAAAGAGCATGAGTCGAACAAGTTTTAACGAACTTAACGAGTAACGAGTCGAGTAACAAATTTTTTTAACGAGCATTGCCCAACTCGTGATCGACTCACTCGATAAGCACCCCTAAGATGAACCCAATAAACTGAGTTCTCTGCATTAACTACTTAATAGATAAATAAGTAGATAAATAGATAAATAAATGGTTCATCTAACTAATCCCGTCTTGATTTTCTTATTTCAAAGTATGAAAAACAAAAATAAAAAGAATGATAGACCAACAGTTATGCAATGCCATTTTTCTTGTTTATTTTTAAAATTTCCTGCAAAAAGTTTTAGATAAAATCACATGTGCATGTGATAAAAATATATTATCTCAATAAACAATAATTCTAATTTAAAATTCGTTAAATAAAGGAACCGTTTCATTTACAACCAAATTGCCAAACATAATTTTCACACACAATTATACTCTATTATTCCAGAAGAAATAAGCTTCAAGATTATTCGTTGCATATATCATACATATATCGAACAACTTTCTCACTATTCAATACCCAATAATACACAAACATATATAACTATATAAAAGACATGATACGTGCATAAACTCTAGTGATCTTGGTGATAAAGAAATTATTGTTATTTCTTAAGGTCTTAGGTTCGAGTACCAAAAATACCAAGAGTACAAGTGTTCAATGCCAAATGGTTAAAAATATTCTTTGAACGGATAATACCTTGTAATTGATCGATTAATTTAGATTAAATACTTAAAGATTGAATATATTCTAATCCATCTTATTTCATTCATAACATTTGCATTCTAATCAATATGCATACTTAAAAAATTTATTATAACCATCTCACTAGACCAAATAATTATTATTGATTGATCACATTATTTATTTTTTCCCTTTTAAATTAGTTTATAAAGAGGAAATTATAACATAACATGAATAAAGAGCATTAATTATTTCGGTTATTTTTAATTTAATGGTAACTCTACTAAATTCCTTTCTCCAACTTTTATGTTGAGATAATTAAAATAAATAAATAAAAACAATACCATTGATGGGTAATATCTCCCGTTTCCGAAGTCCCATGCTCTTAGGGGATTAAATTCTGTATACATTCACAAAAGCCTACAAAACCCCAACCAATAAAGGAGAAAGAGAGAGAAAAAGCAACAAGCTTCACATGTGCATACTACAAACTTTCCTTTTCTCTCCATGTCTTCTTCCCCTTTTGACACCAATGGAGCCCATTTTGTCCATAGCTGCTGAGAAGGCCTGGAAGAACTTTGCCTTGTCCTGACCCAAAGATTGGACTATAGGCTTGGTCCTCGGGTCCAAAAATAGACCTTGGTCCGATGCTAACAAGCCCAATTTGCTCTGTAAATTTGCATAATAAGCATGGTCGAATACGAATGGGGTGGTGACATCAAATGGAGCCACAATGTCAACATTGCCACCAGCTTGTGGGCATGACATTTTCAGGGCCTTTACTAGCCTTGGATCAATGGAAGGATCAGCCTGCTTGGTGCCTTTATAATTGTAGAGTCGTTGCAAAAAGTTGTTGCAGTGGGCAAAGCCGATAGTGTGTGCACCCGAGAGCACAACCAGGTCCTGGACACTTAACCCCTTTGAGCTAAAGAGTTTGATCAGTTGATCGACGGTTGAATTCGCATGTGGGAGGTTGTAGGGCACCCTGGATGCCATTGATATTTTCCCATCCCACCTTCCTTTCTTCACCTGATAATAAGGTCCCCCAGCCTGGAACCACACATTAAATATTACTTAAAATTCCCTGCTTGTTAGTATTTTAAGAGGAATAATAAAACCAACAGATTCAAGTGTCTTAACATTGATAACGATAAAATCTCTGGATAAAAAAAGAGTGAAAATGGTTGAACTAACCAAATGGATAAAATCTCTGGCTGCAATTGCAAGAATATCAGCGCAGGAAACAATGCCGGGACATTTGCTCTCCACCAAAGTCTTGGCTCTCGTTATTGTATCAAACCCTTCTCTTCTCAGGTCCTTGTTCTCCTCTGCATCTTTCTCAGCTAGTAATTTACTTCCAGGCTTTGTTGCTATAAGGATAGACGCATCGCAGCCCTACAAAATATAACAATAATCCATGCAAAAAAAAAAAATTGATCAATCGTCTGCCAAATCTTATCTGGCTGGAAATCCATAGAGCATTGTAGCGTTAATGCTGATATTTTCTAATTAGCATTACTTCTATAAAGCAGTCATGGAAGAAGAGGCGAATAGTGGCAGGTGCAGAGACGGGGGCTTCTTTGAATTGTTGGGAGGTGATGGAGCTGATGTGCTGCTCGACTTGAGGGCAAGATTTTGCATAGTAATTGACAGAAATCTGGCGTGGGCGGCGTTTGACATTGGCTTTGATGGCTAGGCAGCAGGGTGAGTTTATGGTTACAAAGAAAACGATGAAGAAGCAAGTGAAAACGAAGAAAGAAGAAGACGGGGATAGGACGGGCATGATTGTAGTCTGTTTGGTCGGCAGCTTAGGACAAATAATGCAATAGTAGTGGAGAATAAAAAAGTGTTAGCCAAGGTGTAAATATGCTTGGAAATTGGAATGGGACAAATTGCCTCAACCATAAATGAAGATTATCAACTCCTGTGAAGCCCAACCGCACATGAATGGTAGGGAAAAAAAGGATTTCAGGTAGTAATAGATTGCCCTTTGACTCTAGTTTGGTTTATGACTAGAAATATAAGGTAAGGATCTGCTTAATCATAGCCATTTTAGAAACCAACAACAGCTATGACCATGATTCCTCACGGGCTTGTACAATGATTAAAATTACCTCTTACATATACTTATAAGAAGGCAATATTATTGGTGAATACAAAAATAAAAGGCTTGGTAAAAGCAGTGAAGCTGATGGGTGGAGAGTACTGAACCCCACTGGCTAACTGAAGTTTGAGTTCTTAAATGCAAAGCATGTGCAAACGAGGGAAATCATCTGATCATAATAACTCTCTTGACAAGCAAATTGATCAATTCAGAGCCATTTGCTTTTTACTCCTCCCTCTCTCTATATAAGGTATGCGTCAATTGCTATTTTACTTACCCTTTTCATTCATATCTTAAGTGGAAGTAACCTTTTCCCTGTGACCCTATTTAGGGATGGCAAAAAAATCCGAACCCGACGGGGAAAACCGAAAACCGAATTAAACGGGTCGGGTTCGGGGATGATAAACGGGGACGGGGACGGGGACGGGGAAAACCCATTTATTTTAAACGGGGACGGGGACGGGGACGGGTTTGGTAATCCCCGCCCCGATTACCCGATTACCCGCCCCGATTACCCGCCCCCGATACCCGACCCGATAAATATTAAAAATAATTATTTATATATATATATATAATATTAATAAATTTAATTTAAATAAAAAATATATATTTATATATTTAATTTAAATATATATACCCGGCCCGATTCTCGGCCCAATACCCGACCCAATACCCGGCCCAATACCCGTTTAAATAACCGTTTATGCTAAACGGGGATACCCGTTTCCCCGCGGTTTTCCCCGATTACTCGACGGGGATCCCCGTTTAAATCCCTGCGGTTTTTTAAACAGGGATGGGTACCGATTTTTTAAACGGGGACGGGGACGAGAGGACCAATACCCGGCCCGAACCCGGCCCGTTGCCATCCCTAACCCTATTAAAAGCTGCTTGCACCATCTCACGCGCAAATTCCTTTTTTTCCTAGTATTGTTTTATGCACACCGAAATATACCAGGCAAAGGTAAATAGTTCTTACCTTGGGTTTGTAGATTTGAATATGGATTTGAGACATCATGCTAATAAACTCGATTTCCCTTAAATTATTTCATGTATTCAAATGGCCATCCTGTTGCTGGAGAATTTTTACTACCCAGATTTTGGCACATATAAATCAGGTTTTCTGTTCTAGAGAGTTGGGTGAGACTACAAAGCCAAAAATTTATGTCTGCAAATACAAATCAGGCGTGTCATTGTGGCTCACATGTGTACATAAACAGTATAAAATGGATAGTTAACTGCAGAATTCTGCTGCTTTTAGTTACCTTGCTTTGATAGTTAATCTGGTCCAGTTCTAACTTCCAGATAGTGACCTCTGATTACAGTTTTAAAGTCAAACTTTTCATTTAAATAAAAAACTAAAAAACGCTTATGAATATCATGGGTAACTGAGCTTGCTGGGACTTTTCCAGTCAAAAACAAAGAAGCCAAGGTCTGGAGAGAAAACTGTGTTCTGGATTATTGAAAAGACAGAATTGAAACATTTTTTATTCATTTAATCAATAGGAAATTTCAGAACAAGGAAATGTGAAAGAAGTAATTGTTTATTAATTACACTCTTAATTGGATTCGGTTTGTCTGTCACTGTTTGTTGGTGGCCTCCATGCAAAGACGACACTTTTGGTGGGCTAACAACCAGTTTTTTACTTTATATCAGCACTGTATTTCGGCGGATTTGAATAATTTTTAGACCACACCCAATCAGCTTCCATTATTACAGACAATGAAGAACCAAGGAATTATTTTTTTTATCTTTTATTTTTCTAAATAATGGATTAATTTCTTTTTAACCGATCAATTATATTATCCATATAATTTTTAGAGGTAATATATATATATATATATATATATATTAAATTTAGGTATCCATAATCTCTTTGAAATGCCATCAACAGAAAATAAACATTAAAATTGAAAATATAGTTCGTTCTTATTTGCGTGCAACTTGAGAATGTTTATTATAGATAGATTTTGAGAATTTCGTTTTAGGCCTAAATATAGTTCAGTTTCCAGAGATAGGTCTTGCACAGCCCAATTCATAATATTTTCCAGTGGGCTAGAACCACTGTCTATAACATACTCGCGTTGCATTTTATTTCCCGAACGCTGGTTTTTATTTTCAGCGGGGTACACTGTGCTTCGCTGGTTTTGACCCGAGTTTTTGGCGCGTTGCATTTGCACATAGGGTGTTTGATAAAATCACCCACCGAATCAAGTTTGAGCTGAGTCGATTCCGCACCTGAGAACTCAAAACAATGCAACGGTTAACATCAAGAGTCACCGCAACCGCGAAAGTTTGCTCGTTGCTGAGAACTATCCTCATTAATGAAGCACCATCTTCTTCTTCTTCTTCTTCTTCTTCTTCTTCTTGGCTTCCAAGCCGCTGCTTCTCTACTTTCTCTGTGCAGGAACGTGCTAAAACCCCAGGAAAAGTAGCGATCCCAGGAGATTTATTGAAATGGGGTTCGCTTGGGTTTTGCAGGACTTTGAGATTTGCATCAGGGTTTAAGCCTTTAGAACCCAAGCCGTTGGATTCCATCATGGATTTGAACAGAGCAAAGAACCGTTCACCTGAGGACCTTGCTTCCATTTGGGATGATGTAATGTACCCAATTACTGAACTTCTTTTTCCCCCTTCATTTTTTATGTTGTCAATATGAAAGAACAATTTGATTAAGCAAAATTTTTATGTTCAGTATCACTTGGGAAGAGGTCATATTGGGTTGACCATGAAGGCAAAGCTTTACCGTTTGTTGGAACAAAGAAGCTCGGATTGGTAATTCATTTGATTCCATTGTTTATGCTGTTACATACACGTTGCTTTCTTTCATAATTCTTGCTAGTCTCACTTCTATCTGCTTAGCAGCCGCTATTTTGTCGTTCCTTTGTGGAGAGGAAGTGGTTATACAACAATGTTTGCTCAAGGTTTGTTCTTATATAGGTAGTCTTCGATATTTTTTCGTTTTGGTCTTATGACGTTTGATTTGTTTTGTTCTGATTTAATTCTCTTGTTTGTGATCAATTTAACCTACGATACAACCTGGGAAAATGTTCTCTTTACTAAAGTGGTCATAATCATGTTATGGTTTTTTGAATCATGCTTGTGGTAGAAATTAAAACAGTAAGGCGTGTATTAAGAAACAACATAGTATCAGTTTCGAGTCACAATTATTAAGTAGTATTCTCATACTGTTTGAATCAGGCAAAGAGTCATGGCTTTTGCTGTTAGAAAAGAGCATCAGAAATGTCTTTCTGCAAGAGTTTCAATCTATTGGCCATTCTTATGCTTGCATGGATGATTAACTGGAGTTTAAGAGACTTTTTGGCTGCTGATTTCCAAATTTCTGATGAACTCATAGGAACCAGGAATCCTATTAGGGTTATTTGCTATAACGAACAATACTAAATACCAATGTGTTATAAGTTACGCCCCTCGTTAGGATATTTAGATTGCATATGCTGATGAAGCAAACAACAAATTTTATATTTTTCCATGAACTTGTTAGTTTGCTTAAATGTTTATCCAAAATTTTCTTGCAGTGCAATTGCCATACATGCTTTTCACCGGTCTTGAAGATTACAAAGCAAGGGGAACCCAAGCATCTCCTTACTTCACTGCAACCTTTTATACAGACTTTGCGGAAAGCAAGGACTTGGTACTTATTCGTGGAGATATTGTTTTCACCAGCAAGCTTACTGATGAGGAAGCAAAGTGGCTCCTGGAAACCACTCAATCTTTTTATCTGAATGATGTGAGGTACAAGCTAGTTGAATGTTTCAATAAAGAACCCCGTGATTTTGAGTTCAAGGATGTGTTACGAGCTTTAGACATGCCTATTTTTTAACTTCTTAAAATGATAGTCCCTGAACTGCTATGCTTCATTTGTAAGAATTTGGAAACAATAATGTTTCCAGTAAGTTTTATGCAATTACTGGTGGTGTTAGCAGATGTTCAGGGTCTGCCTTGGTTGTACTATTATTTCATCTAATAAATTTTTAGGCACTCTTTTCCTCCTTTCTTTCTCCTTCATGTTACTTTCATAACATGGAGGGTGAAAAAGGGGGTTTTTAATGAGGCCTAATCTTCTATCAAAAAAAAATAATAATAATGTTTCCAGCAAATGTCATGCTTGACAGTTTCTTGTTTCATTTTCAAGAAAATATTTAAATCCTCCACTGGAGAGAGGATGGTCTTGAGATAGATTATGTAGAATGTGGTCATTACATTATAATTTACAGCCTGTAAAGTTGTCACATTCTAACTTCGTGGAGGTGAATTGAAAATGACAAGAAAAGTACTTCATCTAGTCGTACAAGAGTAGCATCTTACATTTAGCTAGACATCTGGTGTTACTAGGAAAGGTGCATTATTCTGGAAACGATTAACTAATATAATTTTCAGGGATTGAACATGAACTAAAGCTATCAATAAAAACTCGGCCAATGATAGATCCTTGAATTTCAGTACCATTAATTTATTTAATCTTTTAATTTTGTTTTATGTTTTTCTGTCAGCCATAGATTAGGGACCTCTAATGTGATTGCTCCAGGGACCTCTAAACTCAGGGTTGGACTGGTGCTCCTGCATTCAAGCTATGAACATTGTGTAGATTAAGATGACCGCCGTGACCGACCACATTTCTGTGGTGGTTTCAAGAATATCCATGTCGAGTCCTCGGACGTTGCCGGAATTATCACTGACAACCCTGATGTTGCATCTGGCTGAGTAAATTGCACGTGATCTGCTCTCGTAGCTGATATAGTTATGTCAACGACAGCTGCATCATAATTCTTCCATTGGTTTTGGTACGCAAGCAAAAAGAAAACAAAAACCTCACAAGAGACAAAATTATAGAAACAAGAAAACTGAACTAGAAGCAAATCGTCCTGGCTATTCTCACAGGTTTTTTCACATCACTGTTTAAGTGAAAACAAGACCGAGCCTAAATTCGATATCTTATAGACGTAATATCCTATAAAAGTATAATTGAACTATTAAAAAAATACTAAGGAAAACAAATAAAGTAAATTAACATAGGAAGACAAAAAGATTGAGAAACATGAATTGAAAGAAAAACGGATATTACCTTGCTATGGACTTCGTTAACAAGTTCATCATATTAATATGAGCCATTGTGGCGATCAAATCGATAAGGTAGATCATAACCTAGCACGTTATTATTTGCATTTAGGTTATTATGGAAAGAAAATTTTATGAAAGAAAATGCTGTTATTGTAATATTATAGATAAATGTTATTTAGATATCCTTTTAAGCCAGATAATGTTAATGCTCAGTTTGGGAGATAAGTGCAAGATATTGAGTGCTTGTTATAAAGAAAAAAATTCAAATATGTAATTTATCTTGGAAAAATAAAATAACAAAATGAGCTTTGAATATATCTGAAAAGGAATATTATTCATACTTCTAAAGGAACCAAATACCCCGATGATCCGCCTTCCTTTCGCACTTCGGCAGCACCAATGGATGCGCTTTCCATTATAGGGGGAGCCGTGGATTGAAAGCCGCTGCACAATTCTTTATCCTCTAGCGCCTGAACTGTCGATTCAGCCTCGGTACGACATATGGGGCTCGTTGTATGTGATCCCAGCCACGTATCTATACACTCCACATGAAGCATGTGCTTACAAATTGGTAAAAGCCCGACTGTGGAGTCTTCCGTGATGGTTCCCAAACAAACTGATCGAGCACTCTGTGGGCTCGTCATGGACGTTAACCTGGCCGGTGGTTAGCTTGTATGTGAACATTAACAATGACACTATAACCAAATGGTCGAGCCCTGACTTCGGTGGCTCGAAGACGGAACTTTCATAAAACGCTGCAATTTGAGTTCTCCGGAGATTAAAGGCGGCACGCATCTCAGAAGATACCCTGTGTAGAGTTGGAGCAAGACTATAATCATCACAACTACAAATAAAGAGGCGATTACCGCGAGCATGATGTTGCGACTGACATCAAATTCTTTATTATCATAATCTTCTGAACCCATAGTTGCTTAGTTTTCTCTTCTGAGAAAGGGTGTGTTGTTTAACTTAGCTAATAAATGCGTAATAAAACGACGAAGTCAGCTTGAACAACGACGTAAGCTAATAAATCCACGTTAAGTAGGGAATTCTGATCGTCCGTTCTGTTCAAAACAGTTCCAAGATAATCTACGTTCGATTTGATATTGTTGAGGTCCCGTAGCTCAGTTGGTTAGAGCGTTGGTCTTATGAGCCGAAGGTCGCGGGTTCGAGCCCCGCCGGGACCAGTTTTTCATTGTTGGTTGATTTTTCATTATCTTCCTTCAATTTGGTTCTATTTTCTTCAATAAATAAATAACCGAACCAACACGAGAAACTCCCCAGTTCTTCATAATTCACATCAGTTGTTTAGCCCTTGATTGATGAAAAAACGATAATTAAAAAAAAAACAATCTTTTAAATATAATTTCCTTTTCCATTACACCAGCTTTTGATTCTTTGTGAGACAAAAACTAAAATAAACAGAAGACATACATAACAAGAGATAGGAAAAAGCTGGTAAATGGGCCATGACAATGCGCATTCCATATCAACCTTTAATTATTTTCTTTTCCCTGATTTCAGGCTTTCTTTCTTCTTAACTACAACTCATACTATTTGTTGCCACCACATTTCCCTTTGATCTCCCAAAATCTTCTCTTCCTCCAAAACTACCTCTTTGGACAGCTTTGTTTGGTATATCCTAGCTAACTCATATTTTTGGTTCGGTTTCTTAGTGCTTCTTGTTTTGTTTGCTTTACTTTATAATAAAGGGAAAAAGGGTTATTTAGGGATGCCCCGTGATTGGGAGGAATCCTGGATGAGTCAAAATTTACAAACTAATTTATGGACTGAAAATCAAATCTTTAGTTTATGATATTATGAGGTTTATGTAGCTGCTGCAATTTTCAGCTTCTTTTTGCTAGAGGATAGGTGGGTTGACTTCGATAGTTGCATGGTTGTTCATTTGTGGAAAACCTTTCTGTTCAGTAACTACTAGTTGTTTTCCATTAAAAAATGACCCCTCTTTCAAATAAAATCAAGTTCATAGCATGAAATTCTTCTTCTTCTTCTTCTTTTTTTGAAACTTTTCTGTCGTGTTATTTTATGAAACTGATTTTTTTGTGTGCTAAATTATTCCTGTTGTTGTTTCTGATTATTTTTGCACTGGAAAATGCTGTCAGGTTGATGCTAAGCTGGGTTATGATACTTACCATCAGCAATGGGTTCTGGAAACTTGTTGAAGACAATAATAAATATAGTTAAAGATGACGGTTCAAAGCAAGTAAAGGTCGGCTTCTAAAAGCTTAATCATAAACTAAGCAATGCAACTCTCTGTTTTTTCCAGTGATAAATGATTAGTTTGCAATTTGAATCCTTTGGGTTTATATTATGCATGATCTAAACATTTTGGAAGATTGTTTCTCCCACTAGAATGGTCTTTTTTTTTAAAGCTTTTACAACTGGAAGTGTCATTGCCCATTATTCATTACCCCTTGATATCATTTGCTATTTTGTTTCCTTTATTAAGGTGACCTTTTAATTGGTCTCATCTGTTCGGCACAGGGATCTTCAGCTTGCACAAAATCCAATGGCTTCAAATGGACGAAACACCAGCGAAAGGCATCCACTAGAACAAGTTTAACTAGCAGAAATTCCAACACTCTTGGCATGCTAATTGAGGATTTAGCAGCAACACGGATTCAAACTGCATGCAGAGCCTAAAGTCCTATAAATAAGATCATAATTGGTGAATATATATATATATATATATATATATATATATGCATGTCTTTGCTTGCATTGGTGAAGCCCATGTCTAAATGATAGAACCTTCTTTTATTTCAACCCTCTAGCTCCCTCTAGCTGCAACACATTTAACTGGATTCTGTTTGTTAATGCATCATTCTCAGTTAATTGAATCATCATATTGGAGTGACCAGTGAATTTGTGAAATTCTTTCTTGAATAGGAGCAATATAGGCACTTGGTATGTGATAATCAATTGAAATCATGAACATCTGTCCAACTACCTCTCCTGTTTCCAAATTTGTTGATAAGTTGACAATGCAAGTTAAGATATATGCTCACCATTGAGTTAGTGGAATGGTTTAATAATTTCTTTTCGCATGATGCAGGCTAGAAAACAATTACGTAGATTGAAAGGTACTGTAAGGTTACAGGCTCAAACCCTAAGCGCTGTTTGGATGGGGGGAAAGATGATTACTGGAGGGAATTTTTTTTCCAGAATTTAATACCCATGTTTGGATTGGTAACGGAAGGCTGTCTTAGACAGAAGAAAATAGCAAATCAACTAAAGCTCGGGGCTAAACTACATGACATAGAGGTTAGATCATCAGCCCTGGCTCATGAGACCATGCATGGACTAAGATCTTGGCAGCATGCTTGTTAGGGCCATTAGTCTTAAACATGTGAATTCAACTAGGAATGCAATTTTAAACATCTAATGGCTGTGAATAATTAGCATCACCTTATTTTCCTAAGTATTATGTTTTACACCTAATGATCAGTATAAGTTAAAAGCTTACTAGGAATTGAGTAAAAGAAGTTTTGACACCTGGAAACATGTAGGAATGGTCATTTGGCATGCATATTGTGGTGTAGCAGCATCTACGGCAGGGATTCAAATAGCGACCGTGTCGCGGTATAACGGCCGTTATTTCACGGTTGTGGCGCCGTCCGTTACTGATATCGTCCAAAAACACGGTGTGAAACAGAATCACACCCATAACAGACGATAACGGTTGATCGCGGCTACAACGGACTGCTATTCCCGTTGCAACACCAAGCATTCAACAACAACACAACAACTTAAAAAAATGACAATTTTTATATAAAAATCAACTTACTTTCCATCAAAAAGTGAAAAAGTGAAATTCAAAGAATATATTCCATGTGGCCTGTAAAAATCAATTTACTATCCATCAAAAGTGAAAAAAGTAATCAAAATTAAAGAATCGGTACAAAATACAAATCATTCAAAACAAAAACCAACAAAAAAAACAACCCTAATTGAAATATGAAATTTTTGCTTGCAACTTAAAAAAATCTCTCAAATTTCACTGCTCCCAAACTCAAAATCAAACAAATAAATAAATAAAGCCTTCATTTTAAAGAGAATTTCATAATTTCAAGTAATCAAAACAACCAAAGGTCAGTGATTATTTTTTAAAGACTATACACAAGAATGGGTGAAGCGGTATCTAAATTTTTAATATATGAACGACTTTCTTTTCAATTAGCAAGCTCTTCATGGTTATATAATTTAATTCAAATGTCAATAGAAGTTTGACAAGGTGTAAAGTTGCCAACACCTTATGAGGTTTCAAGTGTGTATTTGGAGTCAGAATTTCAACGAGTTCGTGATTGAGTAAATGGACTGAAGACTCATTGGAAAGATTTGGGTGCAACTCTAATGTGATGGTTGAACTAACAGTTTGAACCAAATGCACATCATTAATTTCCTTGTTTATTGGAGTAAAGGAACCGTTTTCTGGAAATTCGTGGATGTATCAAGTGTTCGTAGCAGAGATGTTGAGTTCTACTACAACTTGTTAGATTCAGTTGTAGAAGAAATAGGAGAAAACTACATTGTCCAAATAGTGACTGATAATGAGGCAACAATGAAAGCCGCTGGAAAAAAATAATGTTAAAAAGAAAACATCTATATTGGACCTCATGTGAAGTTCATTGTTTGGATTTATGCCTTAAAGATATTGGAAAAAGGCCTAGTGTAGCAAAAGTGTTAGAAAAGGCTTAGAAAGTGACTTGCTTCGTATACAATCACATTTGGACTGTTTATCTAATGAAGAAGTATACACACGGAAAGCAAATACTTCGACCCGCTTTTACTTGATTTGCGACTCATTTCATCTAGCTCGAAGAGATAACAAGACAAAAGCAAGGCCTGATAGAAATGTTTAATTCAAAGGTTAATATTTTATAATTAGTTATATAATTACTTAAATATGACAACCTTTAATGATTTTATTAGTTGTAAATAATTTAAATTATATTATTTTAGTTTTTTATGAATATACAAGAATTTAAATAATCAAAATGTGAACAACAAAAGACATGGTCAGCTTATGAAGCCAAAAAGATTATTTTGGGAAAAGAATTTTGGGAAAAAAAAACAAATGACCTCATAAAAGTTTACGAGCTCTTAGTGAAAATATTGATACTTGTGGATAGTGATGAAAAACCAACAGTGAGCTTTATTTATGATGTTGTTGATAGAGCAAAACGAGCAATTCAATAAGATTGTCGATATTTCATCGAGTATGAAAAAATATTGACAATAGGTGGAATTTTATGCATTATGACTTGCATTCAATTAGTAAGATAAAACGTTTCATATAATTAAGAATTATTTTTATATTTTATTATAGATGAAATTTTATTACTCTATGCTCTAAATTATTATTATTTGATGATATTCTTATAAATCATGCTTACGTTATTTTCTCAATCCTCAATTTCAATTTGGGATAGAGCACTCTGATAATGTATTGATAGAAACAATAAAAGGTACAAGCTTGGTAATTGAAAAATTAGAACCTTCTCTTGACACTAAGTCAGAATGGTTAATCATGTTAGATTCAAATATTATTATTTGTAACTTAGTTACATAATTTTATTATTTTAAAGCTAAGTGATGGATAATATATGGCACATGTGTTCCTGAGTTACAACGATTACAATTAAAGTACTTAGTCAAACAACTTCGGCATCAAATTGCTAACAAAATTGGAGCACATTTAACCATATTCACACCAAGGCAAGAAATAGGTTGAAGTATAAAAGACTTGAGAAACTAGTGTTCACCTACTACAATATGAGGCTCCAGATTAGACATAAGAAAATAATAAGCATCGATGATATAAACACTAGTTTTAATCTTATCAACCTTGATCATATCTTTGAAGATGTTGATCAATTATCATAATAACTTCAAGAGAAAGAGAATTCATTGTTAGATGGTGAAATTGTCGGTTTGTTTTCTGTGGATACCTCAGATGATGAAACTAATGTTAACAAATCTCAACAACAAATTTTGGCTTATTCAAGTTCTAGTGAAACACAAAGTCAAAGTGGTGATGGACTTGATGGTGGTGGTTTAAGTCCAATTGATGATGATGATGATAGTGGTGGTGGTGGTAGAGATGAAATTAGGTCTTATAGTCGATATGGAAGAGAATATGGGGTTGGTATCACTAGTGGACATTTCCGTGATGGATCAAAATTTGGTGGAAATATATCTCCGAAGGCTAGAAGAAATAGAAGTAAACCTAAAGCTCTATCAAAAGGAAAGTGCAAGAAGCATACTTCTATAGGCTCTTCATCTGGTAGAAAATCAAGTTCTAGTAACCTTGGGCATAGAGATTCATCTACTAACACGCAAGGTTTTTATCCACCAAAACAACTTTCATATTTCCAGCCTTCACATGGTTATCCACAACCATATGGTTATTATCCATCATTTTCTAATTATGGTGTGTCATATCAACCTCAAATGCATCATCCTCCACCAATGTATCACCCACCTCCACCTCTCATGTATCCTCTTCAGATATATCCTCCACGTCAATTATATGAAAATCAAAGTGAAAATGTTACTTTTTTGGATATGTTTTTGGACAAAGGCCACGAGAATCAAGTCAAGAAGGCTTTCAAAATAAAGGTGAATGATCTGGACCTCTTTGTCATTTCACTAATTGGAGAAAATTAAATTCTTCCTCTACCACTTTTTGAAAGGTTTTTTTAAAATAATTTTTCGACAATGTTTTTAATTTTAATGATAATAAAACATTTATATATTCCTTCTCAATTTTAATGTTTGACGTATTATTGTAATTGTTGCAGTGAATTAGATTCTCTCATATTTATTCTCAAATTATTCTACTTATGAGTACAAAGCTAAATTGATTTTATGCATTTCATTGAAATGATGTTACTCAACTTCCCAAATGCATATTTGTTCTTTTGTAGTTTTAAGATTTCAATAAACATTTATTTCTTTAGTAACACCCAATTATTGCATTGAAAACTTTCCGCATTCCTACTCCATGTTGAACTCAATTTTAGAAACTATTAAACAAAATCAATAGTAGAATAATCGAAAATTTGTTTGTAAAAAAGTGTTCTTTAACATTGGTTTTAGCTTGAGCTGATGTGCTCTTTTTTAAAAAAAAAAATTGGCTCATGTTGGAGATAATATTTTTTATATGCATGGGAAGTTTTTGAGGTTTCATGTTGATTTCAAGCTAGCTTTGAAAAGAGAAATATGATTAAGGATAAATGAATTAAATTAGTCATAATTTAAGGTTTCTTTAAATTGTTTTTTTTATCTTAGCACCAATGTGGATTTTTGGTTCACGACATCAAATCTAAGGTTTCTTAAAATGAAGCGTTTAAGATTCTACAAGTTAATATATACTTTTTTTAGGTACGACTTTTAATTATTTTATCGATATTTTATTGATAGAAACTTACAAACTTATTAAGTATGATGGATGTTTAATATTTTCTATTTTTTTTATTTGTTATGACTTATGAGTTAATATAATATTCTTAAGAAATTTAAAAAAAACAAAAATAAGTTCATGATGGTAAAAATTATGTTTACGTATTAATAAAAGTCTATAAGTGTTAGAAAATAATCTAAAAATCGTTAAAAGTGATTTTTTTTATAATTATAATTATAATTATTATAATTTATAATAAGTTGTGCGAATTTCAAAAAAACTCATGTATGTGATACCCGCAGTGACTGCGATAGCATCCATTTTGTCCGCGACCGCTATAAACGCGACCGTAAACGCGGCCGCAACCGCAATTTGAATCCTTGATCCACAGTAGTTTCTATTTTTTCCAATCACATCTCTTTGTGCCATCTTTACATATCTGTATCTTAGCGGCATTCTGTCTATTATCAGCTTTCCTGATATGAATTTTTACTTTTATAAGCAACTCATTGAATAGAGTATTAGAATATATAAAATGCAGTTGTCTACAGCTGATTAGCTGTAACTGTTTCTGGTTAAGTTGTTGTAACTGTTCCTGGTTAGTTGGGCCGTTTCTGGTTAGTTGAGCTAGTTAGTTAAGCCTGGTCTTATATATAGTGGGCCTGTCCACTATTCATGAACCGGGTGAAGTGTTATTTTGTATTCTACTGAACCTTGTATTCGTTTTTCTATCATTCAATAAAGTTTTACAGTGTTCATCTTCTCTCTTTTTGCTTTGATTCTCCTTTTTCTTTCCAGTTCATCACTGCTACTGTTATCTTTCTCTTCTATCATGGTATTTCAGTCTTGTCTGCTACACTGATGCAGACTGGGCAGCCTTGGTGGAAGACAGACGATCTACAACAGGCTATTGTGTATACCTTGGAGGTAATCCAATTGCGTGGTGCTCTAAGAAGCAAAGTGTTGTCTCCAGGTCTACATCAGAAGCAGAGTATAGGAGTCTTGCTAATTCTGTTTCTGAGTTGGTTTGGATTGAGTAGTTACTTGGTGAAGTATGGATTAATGTAACTGGAAAGCCAGTTGTATGGTGTGATAACACCTCTGCAATCTCTATGGCAGCGAATCCAACACATCATGCTCGCATAAAGCATGTAGAAATTGACATTCACTTTGTGAGGGAAAGAGTTTTGGCTGAACAACTTAGTGTTAACTTTGTTCCTTCTGCAGAACAGATAGCTGATATACTCACCAAACCATTGCCACCTGCAGTGTTTGGTGACATGCGCTCTCGTCTTGGTGTAAAGTCTTTGGCTGAGATCAATGGTATCAGCCATGTCAAGCAAGTCTGAAGATGCCAAGAAAATGTTGAATTGGCAATTCAGATTAGTAGAAAACCCAGAGAATATTAGAATATATAAAATGCAGTTGTCTACAGCTGATTAGCTGTAACTGTTTCTGGTTAAGTTGTTGTAACTGTTCCTGGTTAGTTGGGTCGTTTCTGGTTAGTTGGGTCGTTTCTGGTTAGTTGAGCTAGTTAGTTAAGCCTGGTCTTATATATAGTGGGCCTGTCCACTATTCATGAACCGGGTGAAGTGTTATTTTGTATTCTACTGAACCTTGTATTCGTTTTTCTATCATTCAGTAAAGTTTTACAGTGTTCATCTTCTCTCTTTTTGCTTTGATTCTCCTTTTTCTTTCCAGTTCATCAATGCTACTATTATCTTTCTCTTCTATCATAGAGATTCCAACTCTTGTATATTGCTAACTCATTTAATGTTATTGAGTCAATAATGGTATGAATAGTCCTTAAGATTTGCTACGTCGTGATGTACGGATCTTCTATGTTCTGTTTTTGCAAGCAGCATGTGGAATTACTGACAAGACTCATCCAGGTTCAGGATCCTCTTGTATTCAAATAGCATTTCCTTATGTCATACTGATCTGTTTTGTCGTTCCCATTTTATAGTTTAAGATGTATGATGTGTCATTTGCCCAAGTATCTAAAACTTTGGCTTCACAAATCAAATAATCCCATATGCTCTTACTGCCTGCTAAAACCTCCAGATATCTTTGTTTTCGTCTTCCTCCTAGTCTCAGGTTGAGGCTGGCCTATTCGACTTTCTCTTTCACACACTCTCGTTTAATACTTTTTGAATCAACGACAGGTAGAATGGTCTTGTGGCCCTGAAACAATGGAGGAAATTCTCTCAAAAATACATCATAGAGAAGAAGCAGCTATTAAACGGGAGCGAAGTATGGCAGACTCCTTCTCTCATCAAGTATACCATTCTCTGAAGCTGTAACTTTTGTTATTCCGGGAAAGCTGTAGAAACAATAACTAACCATCGGATACGCGTGATTTTCAGTGGAGAGCCCCAACTCTAACAATAATGGGATTGACAATTACGAGCTTGCTAAAGCTAATTGGAGTTGGAGCTGGGTGGAACGCTGGATAGCAGTTCGTCCATGCGAAAGCCGCCTCCCTACTCAGTCCATTACCCCTAAGAAACCGCCAAACAGACAGATAAAAACCGCTGGTAAAAACTCGAATTCACCGAAACTGAAACCAACAATATCAGCAAAACCCCATCTTTCCAATGAGAAGGAAACCATGAAGATGAAGCCTAGGAAGCTGTCTTACCCTGGTGCTGAGAAACCAGCTGCAGAAGTGAAAAATGAAAAGGAAGGGATAGGGATTTAGCAGGAAGCCAAAGACAAGACATAGTTAGAGCAACTAAACTTATCGGCTATATAAGTGTGCAAAAATCCTTGTCTTTTTCTTAGGTTTTGAAAAGTAAATGTATGTATGAATCGATACGACTATACCACCCTGATTTTGTTTCCCTTTTTGTATATTAAGTGGTGAGAACTGAGAAGTTAATGTCTTGCATGACTACAAAATTATGGAACCTCTAACTTCTCTCCAACATAATCTCCTTTTGGATAAATTGCTTAAGCAAGATGAAAGAGCTACTCCAAACCCATAGTTTTCAGTAAACAACTGCAAACAATACCCATAAACTAGGCTCATTTGGGGCTGCGCATCCTAAAATATTTCGTTGGTTTTTATTTAAGAATTTATGATATTCAAACCAAATTTAGGCCTACCGAGGTTTGCATTTATGTAGTGGCTTGGGCTTGTTTTAAAGATTTGTTATTAGGTTTTGCCTCCACCCAATAGGCAAATTGACACAAACAAACCTGACAATGCAACGGGTTAGCAATTTACTACTACCCCATGGTTATTACACTCTTCGTATCACTGAGACTAAAACAGCGAATCTACACATTTTTTTTCATTCAATAAAAATCCAAGGCAAAAGGGAGTGCGATGCCCTCATACTTAAAAAAAAACTAATGAGGCTGTCATTTTTTCATAAATATGACTCTCAAAGTTAGAAAAATAAATTCAATATGACCCTTTGACCAACGGTTCCTCTTGTTAACTATTACGGTACTGACATGACACTTACGGTGCTAATGTGACGGTCTACAGTGGTTGGTGACATAGAAGATGATGTGGCAAATGGGTTAAATTGGTTTTTTGGTCGAATTCGAGGGTCAAATTGAGTTTTTTTATTTCAAGGGCTTATTTGATTTTTTAGAAAAAAAAATTTTAAATTTTAAATTTAAACTAAATGAAATTAAAAAATATAAAATAATAAAAATTAAAATTAAATTCCTAAAAAATTAAAAATATAAATATTAATCATAATGATTGAAAATATTATTGTTCTATGTGCACGATGGTTGTATATTTTTCAAACTTGTCAAGAAATTTGATTCCTTTGAAAAATTGGATAATTTGGATTATGGATGATGTGCTAAAACTGAAGGTTCAAAGGGTTGAAAGAATTTGTTTAAATAGGCTGGAAACAATTAAAAACATAATATTAATATCAATTTATTTCTTCGATCATTTTATTTAATTATAGATTGGATATTAATTTAGTT